GGAAATCTTTCTCATAGCTGTGATTAGTTTTGTTCCACTTTTCCTGAAAGCATTCTTTGTTAATCTATGATTACACCTCTCTGGTGTTTTTCATCTGTCCCTGTCATTCATTTTTTTTCTGTAACTACGTCTGCATTCAGACCCTTAGAGACTCCCCACCTCCCTTGTAACTACCATCCAAGTAACACATTACTGAATTATTTTTCCAGAAGCATCTGAGCATGCTGATCAGATTCCTTCAGTGGCTTTCTTCTGACTACAAAGTAAAATCACCAAATCATAAATCAAAAATAATTTTCTGGTCAAGCCCCTTTATTTTGCCAATGAGAATACTGAGTCCCAAAGAGAGATAAAATGACTTTCCCCCAAAGTTGCCTGGGTACTTAATGGAATAAATGAGATTCTAATTCAAATCTTAACATTCACTTTATTTCTTGCGAGATGATATTCCATTTTTTTCATCCTCAAACTCTTTAGCCTTTTCTAAATATACTCTAAACTATTGAGCTAACTCAAAAAATTAAATTGTCAAATCATGCTCATACAAATCAGAGATCTTAACCAATATTAACCTTTATTAATAATGTCAAGGGTACAGACAATTAAAATGGACAGGCAAAGCAGTGAGAGGGCTGAACATCCCAAATCAATCACCAAATCTTTTCTCCCTATTTCAAATACAAGCTCTCTGACCTGGAATAATAGATAATGTGTCTAATGAGGTTGCTTGTCATCTCATGTTGAAGGGAATATTTAGATTATGAAACATCTCCAATACCCGAGACAGCACCTACTTTACATGACATTTTCCAGGGAGTCATGGCTCATAAACCCATACAGTGTAGGTTTGCTACTGTAGCATCCTAAACTAGGACATCCTGCTGAGAGCATTCCATAGGCAAGGGCTCTCTTTCTAGCAACTATTAGTCTATTTACCAGGAGTCCCAGTTATCAACATGATAACAAGGAGATCAGACTAGGTTTCAGATTGTCTTTCTTTTTCTGGGGACATCCCCCAGTAATCAGGAGAGGAATGGTTACAAGCCAGCTGCTTTAATTTTTTTTTCTTTCCAGACATTGTCCATTCATGGACCTTGAATAACAACCAAACAGAATAATTTACTCTTTCTTGTTTGTGTCCCTGTTGCCTCACCGTGTCTTTGCTCTTGCTATTCCCTCTGTGTTCTGCAGGACTACCTCACACGTTCCTTCCTCCCAGTTGAATGTCATCTTTTTTGCCTGAAACTTTATAATCACTTACCTTTTCACTTACCACAATCTGTTTATTAATTTTTTTCTTTTGTATGCAAGTGCAAACTACCTAAAGTCTTTATTTTTCTCCATCTATCCATCCATTGCATTTATATTACATGCCAGGCACTTAAGTGTCCAGTTTCAAAGATAAATAAGACATAATTCCAATCTTTTAAAAATTCTTTCCCCACAACTCAACATGATCCCTTCTATACAGAATGCTTTCAATAAATATTTTAGGAAGGGAAGGGAGGAAGGGTCATAGAAATAATATTCCTTCAAGATTAAATTGGACATCATTCTTTGGGCAAATTTAATAAAATATTGAACCTTAGACTTCATTAGAATATCATCCTTATATCTTTAATGTAAGTTTAAGAAATATGAAAATGATTATAGGTATAAAAAGAGTAAATTGCCTTTAAATATTAACAGCATATTTAATTCTTGCATATTCTTCCCTGGTTAGGTTTAATAGCTACCAGCTCAATGGATACAATTTGTGGAATTTTATTTTAAAATCTTAAGCCTGTAGCTGTAAATATCACATAGTTTTTTTCTATTAGA